GGGGGGGGTTGGGGGGGAGTATAGTTCTGCTTGAGGGTAGAAAGATATTGAGGCCAGATGTACATGCTAGGCCTGGGATCTAATGGGAACTGCAGGGGTTGGTTTGATGACTAATGCGGTTGTGTGAATGAACCACAATGTGCCTGCACTTCAGCACTGTCATTAACTTGGGAACTTTTTAGGACAAGGACAACACTTTTTCACTTTTAAAATGCACAATTGAAGGCATTTTCTCTTGGAAGGCAGACATCTGGTAATGGCATAAAGATTTTTTTTTTTTGTGTGTGTGAACATTAACTTAAAAGGAGTCGTAAATAAGGGCTGCATTTCGGCAACTTTACACATCTCTGCTCTGGCTTTCATTGAATAATGGAAATCTAATTTTTTATTTGACACCTCGGGACTCTGGATCATATTGAGAAATTGTCACATGTTATGGATATTTTTAGTGCGTTTGTACAACAAAACATGTTCAGCTTCCCGTTCACTTCCACTCCTATTTCTGCTGTGTCAGGAGCTTGGCTAATTTGATCAAAAGATCAAGTTCAGATACTCATGCTTGTATTTAAATTTTAACTTTTTTTTTTTAACACAGTAAAGGATTTATTGCAGTTGTTATAAGTTGTTTTAATGTATCTTCTATTTATGGGGTATGATGTTTGATAAAATCAAGGATCTCTGAATGCTTGCATTTTGGTTGATGATTTTAGTCTTGTACCTTTTTTAATATAAAGGTTTAACTTTTTTTTTATTTTTTAATATAAAGGTTTAACTTTTTTTTTTTTAATTTATTTTAAATCATCCCACAATTTCTAACCCTGGGGCCAGTTTGTGAATAGTAAAACAAAGGAGGATTGGTAATGATGGTAACAAAGCTAGTATTTAAGTAAATCCAAGCATTTCACATGCAGGGTAATGTAACTATTGCTGTCCTCTGTTGCTTATACTTGCCCTACTTTGCTATCCTGCTACTCCGTGCAGCTGACAGGAGTGAAGAGAGGAAGCTCCCAAGTCACAATCAATCCCTATGTGACAATTCTTGGTGTTTGAATAGTAAGTCACCAAGCATCGGCACTGTCACATTGGAGGTAGAGGAGTAAGTTACTCACTCCCTAAACCTGGAGGTACCTGGTATTTTTCTTCATTCTTGGCAGCATGGAAAAATGAAAGCATTAAAACTGTTTGAGATGAATATCTTATTTGCATTGGACCTCATTTTAGTAAGATTTCCTTAGTGATAGAGCTGTAAGTTTCTTTGGGGATGCATTGCTAAGAATTTCTGTCAAATATATCTGTTTAGTTCAAATATGTATTCTGCACTAAATTTTTAAAGTCTTAAAATGATCAGCTCTTGTATATATTTTGGGTCTCATGTAAAAGTGCTTGAACTGCTGGAAATCAAGTTAATCAATTTTCTCATAAGACTTGTGTATTACTCATATTGGCCTTATTTCTTACTGATAATTTTTTTTTTCTTCTTCACAGGTATGGCATCACAGCTGCAGGTGTTCTCCCCTCCTTCCGTATCATCCAGTGCCTTCTGTAGTGCTAAGAAACTCAAAGTTGAGCCTTCCGGCTGGGATGTTACGGGACAGGGTAATAGCAACAAGTATTACGCACACAGCAAAAACCTTGCTCAAGGGCACACAAGTTCGTCTCACCAGGTAGCCAATTTCCGTCTACCCGCCTATGAGCCCAACCTCCTAATCCCAGCCGAGCACATTGTGGTAACTGCGGCAGACAGCACAGGCAGCGGACCCACAACCTCCTTCCAAAATAGCCAGATCCTAAACCATAGAAGTAACCTTTTACTGGAACCCTATCAAAAATGTGGACTGAAAAGAAAAAGTGAGGAGGTGGACAGCAACGGTAGTGTGCAGATTATTGATGAACGGCCACCTCTGATGCTGCAAAACAGAACCGCGGTGGGTGCTGCTGCCACAACCACCACTGTGACCACTAAAAGCAGCAGTTCTAATGGTGAAGGAGATTACCAGCTTGTTCAACATGAAATCCTGTGTTCCATGACCAACAGCTATGAGGTCTTGGAGTTTTTGGGCAGGGGGACCTTTGGCCAAGTGGCAAAATGCTGGAAGCGTAGCACCAAGGAAATTGTTGCCATTAAGATCTTAAAGAACCACCCTTCCTATGCCAGGCAAGGTCAAATAGAAGTGAGCATCCTCTCACGTCTGAGCAGTGAAAATGCAGACGAGTACAACTTTGTGCGTTCATATGAGTGCTTCCAGCACAAGAACCACACTTGCCTTGTTTTTGAAATGTTGGAACAGAACCTTTATGACTTCCTCAAGCAAAACAAGTTCAGTCCTCTTCCATTGAAGTACATCAGACCCATCTTACAGCAGGTGGCCACTGCCCTAATGAAGCTGAAAAGCTTAGGGTTAATTCATGCGGACTTAAAACCAGAGAACATAATGCTAGTAGATCCAGTTCGCCAGCCTTATAGAGTGAAGGTGATAGACTTTGGTTCTGCCAGTCATGTATCTAAAGCGGTGTGCTCAACCTACTTACAGTCCCGGTACTACAGGTAAGAATTTATTTATTTTTTTAGTCTATGTGATTGTAGGCAAGTCTAAGGTTTTTTATGTGTGTGTATGTGTATATATATATATATATATAATGCAACGAAACATATCGGCCGAAAATTGCACTTTTGGTAACATGCTGAAAGTGCAATTTTTGAGACGAAATAGCTTTGCATGCCCGATTTCTCTCCTCCCTGCTGCTCTGTGTCCCAGCGGGGAGGAGAGAAACTGTCACAGGAGGCTGAGTGGTGTGGGAGGAGAGCGCTGTGAGCAGCCGGTCTCTCTCCTGCACCGCTCAGCCTCCTGTCACAGATCAGGAGAGCGGCTGTATGGGTGGAGACAGCCATTGCTGTCACAAGAGGCTGAGCTCTCCCCCCGCACCACCCCGCCCAGCCTCCTGTGACAGCGTATCAGGATGGAGAGCGGGTACAAACACTCAGTGATCACTGAGTGTTTCTAAATAATTGAGGACAGAGTATGTTTACTGTGTGTCCTCAATTATGACTGAATGGGAGTGATCTACATCACTTCCTGTACATTCATGATTGTGGATATAGTAAACATACTCTGTAAACAAGTTCTGAATGAACAGGAACTCGGTATAGAGGAATCCTGTTCATTTATAACAATGGCTGCAGAAAAAAAGATTGAGGACTTTGTATATTGTATGTATTATGTAATATATATATATATATGTGAGAAAGGCCTGAAGATTACTTAAACCCCCCCACTCCCCCAAATATTTTCCCAAAGCATAGACCCTGAAGACTAAAATGGTGGCAGGTGAAATATTTTTGTATTTTACGAGATATTGGCCCTTCTGTTTATCAGACCAAAATTTTCTGTAAAACTGTTCTAGAGGTGCACCGAAATGTAATTTTGAAACAAAGTGAAAATAAGAAACCAAAATGTTAAATATGTCTATTTTGTTTTTTCTAAACTTTTTTATTTTAATTTTTTTAATAAATATTTTTATCTTTTTAACTTTACTGTCAGGGTCTCTAAGAAATATCAGGGGTCAAAACGGACCCCTGATGTTTCCCTTTTAAAATAGAAAAAGAGATTGAGGACACGGAGTCCTTATCTCTTTTCCTGCAGCCCCTTTTATAAGCAAACAGCCTCTATACTGAGTGTTTTTGTTCATTCATAACTTGTGGAGATATAATGTTTACCATGTCCACAATCATGAATGAACAGGAGGTGATGTAGAGCACTTCCTGTTCATTCATAATTGGGAACAACGTAAACGTACTATGTCAATTATTTACAGGAAGTCAGCGATCACGGATTGCTGAGTGCTTGTAACCACTCCCCATCCTGACTCACTGTCACCGGAGGCTGAGAGGAAGGTGTGAGGAGGAGAGTGGTCTATTTTGACAGCTGAATCCTCTCTCGCAACGCTGGCTTGGCCTCCTGTGACAGCTGTCTCTTCCCCCACACCGCTCTCCAAAGTGATCTGAGACAGGAGGCCGAGCAGGGTGGTGCTCAGCCTCCTGTGACATCGCGGCTCACAGTGCTCTTCTCCCCGCCCCGCTCGACTGCTTGAACCTTTCTCTCCTGGCTGCACGCTGCGCTGTGTGAGAGGGGACACAGAGCAGCGCCCAGCAAGGAGGAGAGAAACTGGAAATGCACCGCATATTCGGCCGAAAGATGGCACTTTTGGCGGCCGACATTTTGGTGCATCCCTAGTTTTGTTTTTAAATATTTTTAGCTACGATAAACACAATGTAATACAAAATGTCAAATTTGCACTCCAATAAGCACATATCTTGCTTGATAGCTTTGAAAGCAAAAGTGATAAAGATCTTGTCACCTTCCAGGTTCATTCATTTGTATTTTTAGAAAATCTTTTTCTTTTTTTCTTCCCATGATACCTGGTTTTGTAAATAATTCTGTTTTTTCTAAAGAGAAAGCACAGGAGTCCCTTTGTCATTGTCTCTAATTGAATTGCCTGGCCTGACTCAGAAAAGGAAGCCTGCATATATACAGAAAATGTGGCGGTCACAAGTACACGCGCACACACACACTGTATATTAAAAACTAGGTTTTTTCACAATTCTACATAGCAAAGCTATCTATATAACTATAACAAAGTTGTGTATGTCACTTGAAGTATTATGAATTTCACTGAAAACAATAATAGTTATGTTGTATTTCTATTTAGAATTCATGCTGTCCGGGGAAGCAGCAACACATTACTTGTGTATAACCTGTGGCTGTTTGGTGCCAATCATGTGGCCCACAGCCAGATCAGTGAAGGGTATATATTCCTTATACTGGCTTATGCTAGTTAAATTTTGGCTCATTTATTTATCACTTTCTTCTGCTTGTTTCTGTGATGTCTATTCCTTTTACCTTCAAAATTTCTTTCCGATTTTTTGTCTTGCATTCATTGAAGGACACAGCCGAAACTTCATTTTATAGAAGGGTTATATGCCATATGCAGAAGTAGGACCCTAGGCAGACAAAAAAACAACAAAGCAGAGCTCTTGGGTGGCCCCTGCTGGTGGCTTAACCCCCCACTTGTTAGGGGTAGCTCAGGTTTTTGCCTAGCGTCAAGGAGTAAGGCCCCATTCACACTGAGCGGATTTCCGTTTGAAAATTGCACATATTGCCGCACGATATCGTGAGAACTCACTCGTCCAATGATTTTCAATGGAGCTGTTCTATTCTACAGCTCAATGTCGCCTGTAGCTTGTCGCTTGTGCAGGACCCTTTATGCCGTGGATGTCGCGTGATTTGCTCCTTTTGCATGCAGCCCAATAGTGAAGGTCGTGCGATCGTCGCCCGACAAGTCACGCTATATCGATCGCTTGGAAATCCGCTACTTCCCCCAATTGTGTACCCATCTGTGCCGTGCAGGGCTATGGTTATGGATTCTTTTGAGGGATCGATGGACAGAGGACTGGACTCTAGGTTTGGATCTATGTGTCATCACTGGAGGGCCTTTGACACTCACTGAGTTTGCGAAGCTTTGCACCAGGGTCTGGAAGGTGAACAGATGTCGTCTTTTTTTTGGGAACTAGCTGCTCGCTTGATCCTCTGTCTCCTGTATGTGTAATGGTTCGCTGGATACCAGGCCTCGGTTGTCGACATTTAGTTATGTCTGTTGTGTTCTTTGCTGCCTCCTTCTGTGGCTCTGGCGCCGGTCTGCTGGCCGGATTCACAAAGAGTGATGATGGCCCTGGCCTTAGGGTGACCACTTGTTTGTAACAACAATAGATCATGTCGATCATCTGCTGGGGGTGGGGGTACCTTCTTCACTTGGCCTAGTAGGGTGGGGAGCCTCGGCGTAAGCGGGGTCCTTATCCGCTCATGAGCGTCTTGTTGTCTTCAAGGTATAACAAGTAAGGGCTAGGTACCTGACAAACCCTCCTTCGCTGGTCCGCTTTAAGATTTGCCCCCTGCCTGATTGCCTCTGGGTGGGGATCTGTCTTTGCTTGTTTGCGCATTCGTGGTTGCCTAGCATTTCGGACTGACTGTTGACCTTACTGGGGCAACAGAGGATCTCGATCAGGGTTGTCTGGCCGACCTCCTTTTCCGAGCAAGGTCTCGTCCTACCTGGCTGCCACATTGGTTATTACCGTGCGCACACTGGAGGGGTTTGGCTGGGTCCGGGTCCTAGTCATCCAGGAATCTTTCTGGTGTCCTCCCTTCGTCTGGATTCCCTGGGCCTGCTCCTGGTCTCAAGTCTGCCAGGGTGCCTTCAAGCTGTTCGCCTCTTGTGTTTGTTCAATCGGGCGTCCATACATGTGATTGCATGTGGATTCTGGTCTATGGTTTCCTCGCTGGTGGTCCATTTGCCTGTCTCCTTGTCCGGGACATACACTATATTGCCAAAAATATTGGAACGCCTGCCTTTATACACACACAGGAACTTTAATGGCATCCCAGTCTTAGTCCGTAGGGTTCAATATTGAGTTGGCCCACCCTTTGCAGCTATAATAGCTTCAACTCTTCTGGGAAGGCTGTCTGCAAGATTTAGGAGTTTGTCTATGGAAATGTGTGACCATTCTTCCTGAAGCGCATTTGTGAGGTCAGGTACTGATGTTGGATGAGAAGGCCTGCCTTGCAATCTCCACTCTAATTCATCCCAAAGGTGTTCTATCGGGTTGAGGTCAGGACTGTGTGCAGGCTAGTCAAGTTCCTGCACCCCATACTCGCTCATCCATGTCTTTTATTGACCTTGCTTTGTGCACTGGTGCACAGTCATGTTGGAACAGGAAGGGGCCATCCCCAAACTGTTCCTACAAAGTTGGAGCATGAAATTGTTCAAAATGTCTTGGAATCCTGATGCCTTACGAGTTCCCTTCACTGGACCTAAGGGGCCAAGCCCAACCCCACACCATAATCCCCCTCCACCAAACTACACTTGGCACAATGCAGTCAGGCAAGTACTGTTCTCCTGGCAACCGCCAAACCCAGACACGTCCATCGGATTGCCAGACAGAGAAGCATGATTTGACACTCGAGAGAACGCGTCTCCACTTCTCTAGAGTCCAGTGGCGGCGTGCTTAACACCACTGCATGCAACGCTTTACATTGCACTTGGTGATGTAAGGCTTGGATGCAGCTGCTCGGCCATGGAAACTCATTCCATGAAGCTCTCTACGCACTGTTGGGCCAATCTAAAGGCCACAGGAAGTTTGGAGGTCTGTAGCTATTGACTCTGCAGACAGTTGGCGATTTATGTACACTTCAGCATGCACTGACCCCGCTCTGTCATTTTACATGGCCTACCACTTCGTGACTGAGTTGCTGTTGTTCCAGTTGTTCCACTTTGTTATAATACCACTAACAGTTGACCGTGGAATATTTAGTAGCAAGAAAATTTAATGGAAGGACTTATTGCACAGGTGGCAACCTAATCACGGTACCACGCTTGAATTCACTGAGCTCCTGAGACCGCCCCATTCTTTCACAAATGTTTGTCGAAGCAGTCTGCATGCTTGATTTTATACACCTGTGGCCATGGTTGTGATTGGAACACCTTGATCCAATG